TTATGCAAAATACTTATTTTATTCTTTAGATACTAAAATATCATTAAAATTATAAATACATGGACAAAATAACCCATGACCATCAGGCTCAGTATATTTTGTAAAAAGGTCGCTATATTGCAGCACTATTTTTTCTGAATGTACATTTTTGTATATATATATATAATATATATATATATATATATATATATATATACACATATATGTGTGTGTGTGTGTGTGTGTGTGTGCATATATGTACAAGTATATCTGTATATATGTATATGTGTTTGTGTGTATGTGTGTGTAAACATGTGTATGTACACACACACTCACACACACACACACACACACACACACACACACACACACACACACACACACATATATATATATATATATATTATATATATTATATATATATATATATATATATATCACATAAAACAATGGAATGTATATTCTGCTTTCTTGATTGTTATTCATGTTGCAGCCTACATATTCGAGATACCCAAAGTATTATTGAACTTTTAAGTTAAACAATACAAAAAATCCTTGTTATGCATGAAGTAATGTTATTTTTCGTACGACCCTGAAACCCCTGCCTGAACCGCCACCATAAGAACCCCTGATTTAGAATATTGTCATTTCTCGTCGATTGATTATCCTGTATGATTCGCAGGGCATGAATCTCAACCTGAAATCAGTCATACTAAAGTAAGTGAATTTATGATCGTGTATCTGACGGGATATGTATATCACATATTAGTTCGTATTGTTTCCCAAACACTTGTATCCTGTTTAAACACTTGTATGAATTACATGTCATTTTTTTTCCCCTCAGGTTGTCCCTTATATTATTGGTTTGGGTAGTGGTCGTTCTCGTTATCCTTAGAAATTCGAGTAGAGAAAGACTTTCCGTTCGAAATTTTCTACTGAATGGAAATATTGCCATCGCTGAGACGGCCGCCGCCACCGCCGAGCCAACGGGTGACGCAAGAGCCCTCCCAGTCCCTCCCCCTGTGATCGTTACGGAAACGGATGGAGGCAAACCGGCAACTTCGTGCTCGTGCAAGGCAGTTCCTCTGTTTCGTTCTGACGTTTACCAAGAACAGCTCTCGCAACGAATCACGTGGCTGAACATGAGCTCGTTGGAACTCCTGATGAAAAACCATCCCAATTTTCCTTACAGCATGATTGTAAACACCAGTAAAGAGTTCTGTGAGCTCCTACCATCTTTGCATGAGTGAGTCATGGATGCGGACCCTTTATGAAAATAATTTGGAATAAAGCGAATTAAAGTTAATGTAGAGATCACAATTCTTATTTCTATTACATTTATTTACACGTTCCTTTATCCCTACGTACATTTACCCAATCACTTATTTGTCGGCATATCTATTAAACATCTACAGAATAGAATGGGACGAAACGTATTATCAAGTCGCGGAGGTCCCTGGCACGACCTATTTCCTCTACTCCGCCTTCCTGGACAACCGCCCCCTCGCAGGTCAGTCCATGAATGAACCACATTCACGTTGACAAATGTAGAAAATGTGTAAATGAGAATGAACATCTTCACAATACAAGAGATGTATTTGGCCGGTTTTCTAATACATCTTAGACGAAGATATATTCGAAACCTGTCAATTACAACCCCAGTTTCCCGAATCCATAAACAGCAAAATATTATCTTTGCTTTATCCTCCGTAAATTGAGGTACCCCTTATATCTGTGATGAAAGTCAAGTACCCTCAACATAGAATGATTCTCAATTTTTTTTCCTTCTCTATCCCCCAAGAGACACGTCCTTGTATCAGGGTCCTAGCGTTCACGAAAGCCAGGAAGCCAACCGCCCCTTGGTGCTACATCTGGTTCAACGCCACAGGACCGCCAGCCGTGTCGCAGGTTACCAGAAAAGGTAGAGGTCCTATGATGTCTGTTTATTAGTAAATAAGTATACTCAATTACAAACTCACAAACAGCATAATGATGGCTAAATCCTCACTTTCTTGAAACTACTGATTATGATTTTCTAATCTTTTTTCACTTTGCTTCTTGACAACTTGTTCATCTGCTTCCTTTTCGCTTGTTGAGATTTCGTGGACTGGCAGCCCAGGTCAAGCAACCACCACATGTTTTATGTTCTCACTTGCCGGGTTCCTGAGACCGTGGCCCACCTGAAGCCCTTGGCTGTGTCCATTGTTCGTCAGCCATGTGAGAAAGCTCGAACACTGCTACAGGTAAGTGCTGTCCTTTAATCTACCCTATATTCTCTTCCTTTTTCTTCTCCTCTCTCCCTCTCTCTCTCTCTCTCTCTCTCTCTCTCTCTCTCTCTCTCTCTCTCTCTCTCTCTCTCTCTCTCTCTCTCTCTCTCTCTCTCCTCTCTTTCTTTCCCCCTCTCTCCCTTCTTCTGATTTTGTTTGTGTAGAGAAAACAATCGCCAAAATATTTTTTAAATAGTAGCACACCCACGCAAATGTAAATATTCCATATTAAATACTTTTTTGTTCTCTGTAGC